ACTGCTATTGTTGCCCCCCATTGTCAAAATAAAAATAATTTAAAATTAATTAAATTAAATATATTGTAATTTTATGTTAAAATATGCAACTTATATGTTAATTATGATTTTACTTTTGTTGATGATAGCTCAATAAAATATCAATACTGAAATGTTTAAAATAATTTGTTTATAATATTATTTAACTGCAATTAATATTAATGAAATAAATGTTATACATACAGTATGTAATAACAATTTTTGCATATGAATTGTTTTACATCCTTAAATTAATTCTACTTATTTAATATATTGTACTGTGTATCTTGCACAATTTGATAATTCGTATAATCATCATGTACATTATGTTATTATAATGATTTTATAATTATTAATGCACTAGGATTAAGGATCTAACTAAAATATTTGGCAATTTTAAATTATATTAAAATAAGCAAGTAGTCGCATCATTACTTAACAAATTAAATTTTAGTATAAATTGAAACAGCATACTTTGTAAAACATATATTATTTTTTAAATAATTGAATCTGATATAAATCTATACATAAGTTAAAATGCGTGTAATTATTTCACTATTTGTAATATCGCTTTTTGCAGCAGGTATGATTATGTTTAAGTTAATTTATCATTTAATTTAAGCAATTTTTAATTTAACAGGGCTATTTTCTGGTGGTGTAAATGGGCAAAGTAGCAGTGTGAAAACTACATCCACAAAAGTTCCCTCAGGTACAAACATTAACATACCTAAATAAGCTTAAATGAATGAAATTAATTTTCAAATTTATCTAGCTAACCAAGGGAATGCACCATCAGGCTGCTTTCAATGCACTCCCCAGTGTCAAGAGTACTATTGTTGCCCTGGTAGTATATACCTAAATAAGCTTAAATGAATGAAATTAATTTTCAAATTTATCTAGCTAACCAAGGGAATGCACCATCAGGCTGCTTTCAATGCACTCCCCAGTGTCAAGAGTACTATTGTTGCCCTGGTAGTAACCCGCAATGTTGCTACACTAACACTACTCTTAGTAAAGGTACAGGGTATACCATTAGCTGCTATTGTTGCCCCCCAAATAATTAATATAAAATAATTACATTCAATATTGTAATTTTATTTATAAGTATTCAACTTTTATGTCAATTATTATTTTAGTTACATTGATAATAATTTAATAATATATTAATACTGATTAATAAATAAAAAATCGAAATATTATTTTGTTACAAATGATAAAAAAGTTTTATAAATTTTAATTGACCACCATAGAATTATTAATTTTACATGTTTATTTTATAATATTTTATATGTAATCTTTGTAAAATGTTTTAAATATGAAATAAACATTTTTGTAAATTACTTGATTTACAAATATACCTAAATTAATTTTAATTATTTATTATATTGTAATATGCATTATAGACATTTGAATAATTCGTACTATCATCATGTTGATGATGTAATCATAATATTTTTTGTAATAATTATTACACCTGGAATACTTGTATAAGTAACTACCTAAAATGTTGGGTAATTTTAAGTTATATTAAAATTACAAATAGTCACAACATTATTAAATATTTAATGCTCTGTAATACAGTTACATGTGTTAAATACAGTTAAATAAAGTATATATACTTAATAAAATACATGAGTTAAAATGCGTTTAATTATTTCACTAGTTGCAATAACTCTATTTGCAGCAGGTATGATAATAATTAAATTATTTTATTAGAAAGGTTAAAATCTTTAATATTTAACAGGTTTATATAAAGCTGTTGTGGATGCGGCTGTTGGGACCAGTGTGAAAACTACATCTACATCTACAGATCATTCACCAGGTACAAACATAAATACACCTTAACAAATTGTCAAATAACTATATATTTATCTAGCTCCAACTGGCGGTAAACCTCAAAACTGCTATACATGCAGTAAACCGTGTGGTACCACCTATTGTTGCCCTAATGGACAATACACTCAATGCTGTTATACTAATATAAGCAATGTCATTTCGTGCTTTGTTGCTGATTATTAAATTTGTAATAAATATTTAATTTTTAAAAATAATTGTGTCAGGAATAAATCTGTATATATAAGTTGAAATGCTTGCTATTATTTCAATAGTTGTAATGTCCATATTTGCAGCAGGTTTAATAATGTTTAAATTAATTTATCATCTAAAAGTTTTAAAAATTTAACAGGGCTATATAATGTTGGCGTAAATGGGGCTGTTGGTAGCAGTGTGAAAACTACATCCCCAGACTATTCACCAGGTGCTAACATATTTATTCAACAAATAAATTACCAGAATAAAATAAATTTTTTTTATCTAGCCTCAATTAGCGGTGCACCCATTTCCAATACATGTAGTCACCCATGTGGTGATTATTATTGTTGCCCTGATAGCTACCCGCAATGTTGCTATATTTATATTAACAATGTCATTTTTTGGTATTGTTGCCCTTTACTGAATAAATGAAACTATTTCTAAAATAATGTATTATAAAATAAATGTATTACAGTAATGTTTATATAAAATAAATGAATTTATTTGATAAAATTTTCTTAATTATGAGTAATTTGTTATTTAATTACTTATTAATAGAATTTATTTTTATTTATTTTCTCTGCAAAACTATAATTAAAAAGTTAGAGTAACTTGTACATATATTTTTAAATAATTAATTAAACATATATTTAAAAATATAAACACATGCTATATAAAAATTAAATTTAATCTTAAATGTAAAATTAAATTGTGTTTTTGAAAAATGTGTTTAATTATTTTATGTAATAAAAATGTAAACTAATTGTTTTGTATTAGTAAATTAATTCAAATCATTTAGTATATAATAATATACATCCCGGACATCTGTATTATTCTTACAATCATCATGAAATTATAATGGTTTTATAATAATTATTGCACTAGTTTTGCACTTTATATAAGTATCTACCTAAATTGATAAGCAATTGTGTATGTTAAAAATGTATTAAAATAACAAAAAATTAGTTGCACCATTATTCAACAATTTCAATTTTAATATAAATAGCACTAACATATAGTTGGTAATAGATATATTATTTTGTTAAATAATTGCATCTGGTATAAATTTCTATACATAAGTTAAAATGCGTGCAATTATTACAATGGTAGTAATATCCCTATTTTCAGCAGGTATCATAATGTTTAAATTAATTTATTATCTAATTTTAAAATTTTAAAATTTAACAGGGATATTTAAAATTGGTGTAGATGCGCAAGTGGATACCAGTGTGGTAACTACATCCTCAGACTATTCATCAGGTACAAATATAATTATACAAAATTAAATTGCATAAATTATATTATTTATAAACTTATCTAGCTTCAACTGGCACTGTACCTCCTGGCTGTTATATTTGCAGTTCCCCTTGTGGATCATACTATTGTTGCCAGGGTAGACACCCGCAATGTTGCTATACTGGTACTACTAAGAAACCAACTTGCTTATGCTGCATTAATTGAACAAGTGAAAATAATTTTAAAATCAAATTTAATTATATATGTTTTAATTGTATTAAAAATTATGCAACTATTAAATTAATTGTAATTTTAATTACCCTGATTATTACTAAATAAAATATTGATACTTAAATGAGAAAGTTAATTTATTTAATTAATTAATGAATGATGTAACTTAAAACATGAAAAATGTACAGCGGACCCTGTTAAATAACGGATATATACATTATATGATATTATAATTGATAAATTGACACGGAACACAATAGTTATTTAAAATTCACTTGATATAATTATAGTTTTGATGAGTTGTGAAGTTATGTGGGAATAGTTACTTATTTAAATATGTTTGTGGTATTGTAGTATTAAAATACCTTAATAATTAAATAAGAGTAAACATCAAAAAACTATTGGATTAACTATTTACTGATTTATTTAATTATTATTTTATATTATTTAATGGGGAGTCTCGTTAGGTGTCAGCAAATTGTGCCAGGATAATCTGTAATAACACAAACTATATGACCATATATACCATTTGGATTGATAAAACTTGGCGAATATCATCAACCATTCCCGTCAATCCAATTATAGTCACTGGTGGCATGCACATTTTACATATTAAATAATATTATAAATATGGATGGCTATTCAATCATACAGTAATTTTTTATATGAATTCATAGACTTGTATTTTCAGTGAATAAAACCACACTGCATTAAAATCTGACGGTTAGTTGCCGTCAAAGTATTTGTTAAGTGCCTTTTATGTTAATTATGTCATTTAATAAGTTAAATGTGCATGTCACCAGTGACTATAATAGGATTTACGGGAATAGTTGATGAGATTGGCCAAGTTTGATCAATTCAAATGGTAGATATGGTCTTGTAGTTTATGTTATTACAGATTATCCGTGCAAAATTTGCTGACACCTAACAATGTTCATCATTTAGTACATAACTAACATGATTTAAAAATTAAAATAGTAATTATTTAATATTAATATTAATTTTTTAAAATTAGTTCATTTTCATAAAATATGTACCAAGTTAATTTCGGTGCCAAATAACTTCCGATTCCTGTCAAATTGATACCTGTTCATTTTCCAGTGACTACCTGTCTAACGACCAGTTAGGCTTTACTTGGAACTGGTTGGTATTTGCACACATATAATACACTAATACCCAGGTATCGGGAAATGCATTTAATTACGTTTGTAGCCTTTACAATAACATCATTTTCATTTCCTATTTAACGCAGCTCTAATTAATTAAAATTGTAATATTTCAACTTGTTAATATTAAACATATTATAATAATAATTGCACGCAATTGCGTTATATAATTAATTTCTTTGATTAAACGAGATAAAGTAATTTTACTAGGTACTCGTTTATGTTTAGAAGAATTTTTACGAATTTATTTTAATTTATAATTAATAATTTAACCTTAAATAATTATGAAATATTTTTATTATATTAAACAAAATCTGATGCACAAAAAAAGAGAGTGACCTAAATTTATAATCAAGTTAATTAAATTAAATTAATATACTCTTTGGATTTGTAATAAATAGTTTATTTCAATAAACAATCATATTAAATATGATACAATTCTTTTTGCAAAAGTTTAATTTTATAAATATAAACTATCTATGCATAAATCAGTGGCAACATTATGATCTTAGTGATATTAACCTGTTACTTTCTGCTAGTGCATTTTGATGTATTATACGGTTTTGTTCTCTTTCCATATTAATTTCTCCAGGAGTAATGCATTTATAACCTTGCTTATAATATGGCTTACAATTTCTACCAGCAGGGCAATCTTTATTTTTGGGGTCACACGACTTTAACTTAAGTTTTTGAGGCGCTCTTTTAAGTCTGAGTAAAACTAGGTCACGTTCAATTGGGCACCTTTTAGCACGTGAGAGTCCATATCCATCACCACAATCACCATTATAAGCAAACACGTGTGCCATAGTTATCATCACTAATAGTGTTATCGCGATCATTTTAGACATCAATATTTTGCTATTCTTATGATATTTTAGTTTTACTAATTGTACAAATACACATATGGTGTGTAGATTTAATTTAATTAACTTAATGGTAAACAATGTAACATAATAGTAAATAATGGATAAGGCTCAAAATTTAAAGTGTTATTTTTTAAATGTTAATTGTAATATTTGTAAAAGTATTAGTATTATTAACAATAATAATCATGATTATGTTAATATGGGATATAATACATCTAATTAATTGTCATTCAAATTGTGGAAAGTTTTTACCTGATCGAGTATATTATTTATTAAATACTTATTATACTTATTATTAAACTCATAAAGTTGTTTAATATTTTAAAAATTATTAGACTTTTATTAATAAAAAATTCAAAACAATTAGTTTGATCACACACAATTTCCTTTCTAAAACTTACTAGAACAAACAAAAAATTTTGCACAAATGAAAACTTATATTAACTGTAAACTTTAATACTAGGGTTATAATGTTATTTGATTATACATTATTGGTGACTATATAATTAAAATGTTAACCCTATAAGTTTTTACTTTTATAAAAAGCATGATGCATTTACAATTAAATAGATTATGTAAATAATTATAGTTTAGACGATTATTTGTTATTTGGAATTAAGTGAATACCTTTTTACTTCACCATGAAATTAAAATTTTTAACTTGGATAATCCATATTACTTGAATTTCCGATTTAATCTAGATCTTACTAAAATTATTTCAACTTGCTAATATTAAACATTTTAATTTCTATAAAATAATGTATTTGATAACTGTTTATATACTAAATTAGTCATGTGCAGTATATATTTAAATAATTTTTATACTTATGTGTTATTTTAAATCAAATTTGTTTTTCACATATCCTTAACCACATTCTACATTGATATTCAACATTTTGTATATTTATAACATGTTAATAACATATTATAATTAATAGTGTATTATCAACAATAAAATCGTTGTTAATACTCAATAAAGTGAGCGGGTTTACTTTTAACTTCGCTTTATTAAACATCAATTTTAAAAACTCGTTCAAATTGTTGCGAAATAGACATCAAACTTAATTCACGTTGGATAAAAGTTATTAAATAGTGTGAATAAAATGAATCGCTTTTTAGTAGAAGTTTATTATGTGTTGATTCAAATTCCGGATCTTTTAACAGAATATTCTTATCGATAGACCACTCGTTATATTTAGCCAACACTTCACTACATTCCGTTCTTTTAAGCCATTGAGGATATGTTACCATTGATAGCAAAATAGTTTGTAAAAATGAAACAGGCTCATTTAGATAACAATTGATTTTTGAATAGGGCTGTGAGCTATTTACAAAATATATAAAAAATTATAAGTATTAAGATTTTATTTAAAAATAGTATACATACTCATCTAATTTAGACAAATCAAACNAATATATAAAAAATTATAAGTATTAAGATTTTATTTAAAAATAGTATACATACTCATCTAATTTAGACAAATCAAACTCAAATATATTTTCACCAATTATAGCCACACTATAAATATCGCATTTATGGTCATATGTTTTACTCAAAAGTACTTCAGGGGCTGTGTATCCTAGGGTTCCCACACCTGATGTGTGTTTGTTAGATGTAAATAAATGAATGCTTTTTTGGTGAACAGTAGCCAATCCAAAGTCACATAATTTAACAAATCTACCGTTCCGTCCGTTTCTATCAATCAAAATATTGTCGGGTTTGAGGTCTCTGTGAATGATCTGTGGATTCAATTCATGCAAATACTGAACACATTCTAAGATCTCTCGGAATATTTCACACGAAATGAAATACTCGTAACAATTCATTGGTTCACCAAATTGTCGATTAAATTCTTGCGGTTTGTGTTGAAGAATATTCTTCAGACTATCGGAACACAACTCCATTTGTATGTAATACGAGTCCCCTTCAGGCCATGAGTCGTAATATTTGACACTATATATTGAGTTAACTTTAGCTAAATTCTTTGCTTCATTAAATGTTCTTGCTATTTCCTCATCAGAGAAATCTATAATAAAATATCAAAATACTTATTACAAAAGTTGTAATATTAGTTATTTTAAAATACCGTTTGTGTTAATAATTTTCACAGCATAATTAGATTTATCATTAACATTATGAACTTGATATACGGAACCAAATGCGCCTGATCCAATTTGTGATAGTTGAATAAAATTCCCTTTATAATAATTACCTCGCAAAGTAATATCAATTGTATTATTTGTAATATGATATTCAGTAGCGTAATAATCAAATTTTGATAATATTATGCAAAGGTGGTCCAGTAAACATTAAAAATTAAGTATTTGGAACGTGGGAAAGCTATCATTATGTTTAAGTGACTTATATACGTCGAATTTTGTTAGTTCTAGTATTTTAAATTGAGTCGTCCTAAACAGCTTGGTAAGTTTATGTTGACTTTCATCCAGACAATTAAAATAATATATTGCACCATCGTCGCTTAGTAGGAACACTTGTTCGCGTTCAAATATTTTATCTTGCTCCTTCCACTGACACATGGCTAACGATTTTATTGATCTCAAATCGGGTATTAACAGTGGTTTTATCATGTTAGTCGATTTAAATCGTGGTAACAGAAAATGTATTTATACTGGGGTGTATTTATGGACGGGCAGGTGGCATTATCGCATGCTACTTTTATCAGGCGTTATATAACTGAATTAAAATATTAATAATAGCTTACAGTTGTTCGTTGGTATTAATATATTGCCATTATTTTGCGTATCGCAACCTACCTGTCCACCTGAATTATTGCCCCACCCGTATACATGTCCATTGGTGGTAAGCGCCAGGCTATGCATTATACCACACGCAAGTTGCTTGGTGTTTTTGTCATCTAAGCAAGCTATTTTATCAGGTTTTAAATAGACACCCTCCGGTGAAATCTCCCTAGCTAACTGTCCCATATTGTTGTGTCCCCAACTATAGATAGCGTTGTCGTTACACTTAGCCAGTACACCCCAATATCCGATTATAAATTGTTGTACCTTTTTGCCACACAATTCGGGTATAGTTTGTGGCGACGACACTGTAATATCGTGTCCTAAACCCAGACATCCGCTATAATTACCGCCCAATCCGTACACCGAGTCATCATTTGTGACAAATAATATGTTATAATTTTTTCGCTTATCCTCAAACACGTGATACAAAACTATTTGTTGTTTTATATCATCAGGTATGTCGTTAGATATTTCAAATTTATTAATTAGGGTGGACATGTTCAATATAATTTTTATAAACAATATAATAATAAGTAATATTGCCAATGCAAATGAAATCCAACTTGTTATTGTACATAAATGTATATATTGTAACTAGTATATTGTATGATGTAGTAGACAATTTTATTTTTATCAAATAACTATTATATCAGTTGAATTACCCTTGGTTACGATGATTTTAGGTATTTCACACATAGCATTTCGCATACACTTACTATAAAGTTTTAACTTAGCACAGTGTAAGACAACAATAATTCATTTAATGACCTTGCTTATCTCTATAACATTTCCTGCCGATCTGAAGTAGTAGTACTGCATCTAAACAATTATACGCTAAATAATATTTTACAAAATAAGTAGCAGTAAAGATTTATTTACTAATTTATAAATAACCAATTTTTACAAAAGTGTTGAAAATATGTAAGTAGCATACTTAGTAATTTATAATTGTCATAATCCTAATTGACATTTTAATAAACATTTTTTAACATTCAGTATAAATAAATTGGTTATACCTAATAATTAAGTAGTAAAAAATGAATATGATTCACAATGGTTACAAATCGTTGCTATGTCCAACCATTATTTTAAAATTAATAATAATAATTTATTTATTAAATTAATTTGTTGTGTTAAGCTTATATTCAAATTTAAAAGACAAACTCATTTGAATTAAAAGTGCTGATATTTATATTGATAATTTCTTAATATATAATATATATTTTATATAAATTAAGGTTTACAAAAAAAATTACGTTTTGTAATAAGATGATAAGCTTTTATATATAATTGATTTTAGACACATTAAAGGATGTTACATTTTAATTATAACTTTACCAATGTTTCTACCAGACTGCAAATGCTAAAATAAAAATAAATATTTAAAATAAAAGAATATTATTCACTAAATATTAATAATAATCACAGATTATTAGATCGGAATGGAGTTGTCGGGACTGGTGGCTGAGCTGTGGTTACTTGAGGGGAAGTGATCATAAAGGAGGTGTTAGCCTTAGTATACGCAATTTCTTGGTCTCGATGTCATCGATCAGTTGTTTCACGTATTTTGGGGCCAAATCAAAGTAACCATTATTATACTTGGGCCAGTGTTAAACCAATACGTAGTTTTAGATCAACAATTTATGTTCCACCAAATTACAAATACTTCGCTGTACCGATTCTTACACAGGTCCACCCAGTGGAAACCATACCCGTGGCGTAGTACTTCTTTGACGTTCTCAGATTTATAGCTGTCGGTGAACCCCAATACGACTAGCCGTCCCTTCGGTGCCAAATGGTTGAACAGGGTTTCCAATACCTGTCCACCGATCGTCTCCCAGACCACATCAATCCCTTTCTACAGAATAATATAATTAACAAGGTACATATTTATCAGATTGAAGTGTTAAAACTATACAGAGTATAAAAAATTATCAAATTTAAATTGAACTATTTAATTAATAGCTTATTTAATGAGTAAACTATATATTTCTTATTTGTGTCGTCCCTGTAGTGTTTGCATCATTTGCATTGTATTTAATGAAAAGTGCGATACAAATGATACAATCCTTTCCAGGGGACACACTATTTATTAGAAATAATTAGATATGTGTTAATAATTGAGTCCTATATTAAAAATGACTCCCTGGTGAGTTAACGTGATTCGCACTGTAAATCAGTTTGCTTTACCTTTGCTTATATATAAAATCAAAACTAGCATTTGAAATCTGCTTTCATACGACAATACAATATTATTCAATGCCATTACACAATCGTATGAAAGCAGAGTTAAAGTGCTAGTTTTGCTTTCACGCGTTCATATACTCCATAATTATTTTACCGGGAATTCATTAGTGAGCACTTCATCTAAGTTTTCGGTCTTATAATTAATCACTCGATCGGCGCCCAACCCTTTCAGCACTTTTGCCTTTTCACCGGACGATGTCATGCCGATCACGAAACAACCCTTTTGTTTTGCGTACTGGACGGCTATGTGTCCGGTGCCGCCGGCAGATGCCGTTATAAGCACTTTATCGCCAATTTCAATACGTCCCGCCTGTGGCGCACAAAAATTTTTCAACAATACTTAAATTTTTATTTTAAAGGTCACCTCGCTCAATTACCTCATCCAAACCAATATAAGCTGTCAAACCTGTGGGTAATATTGACGTGAACGCCGGGTTAAGGCTCGGAACGGGAGTTAATTCGCGTTCTGTGGCGTACTTTATGTATGATTTGAAAAGTTTAATTAATATAATATTATGTAAGGCATTGAAACTAACCCCGCATTTAAACTTTACTTTCGCACGACTGTACACAACTGTGTTTAACACTATTACAGTCACGTGGAAAGCTAAGTTAAATAAGGGATTATTTGAAATGTTAATAACTTACTATATATTCGCTCATACGGGAACCACCAGATGGTTTGTTATATTGTCGAACTGGGTGAAATTAACTACAATATAAACACGGTTGGACCAGTTGAAGGGGATTACGGATAAAATTATATTATGTTACTAATTACTAATGTGACATAAAATTAATGTTGGTAATTTATATTTGTACAGAAAATCACAGGGTTACAAAAATTAATTAATAATTACAACCAATAAAAGCATAAATTAGCATGATAACATAACAAATACATACGTCGAGCCCACAATCAAAGGGCACTGTCCCGCCAACCATATACCGACCGGCAGTCACGTTAACATCGGCGGCATTAGCACCGGCATAAACCACGCGCACCCGTACCTGGTCGGCACCGGGAAGCACGAGAGGGGTGTCCACTATTTTTACGGCTTCCCGAAAGTTAGCCGTCATTTTGAACACTTGTAACTTCTTATAAGTTTGCGACATATTTATTAATTATGAACAATTTTACCGCAAAGTAATGCAAAATAATGTTTTTAAACTATACAACTGTTTATACTATAAGTCTACACACAGTGTAATACCATTCATATTAATTAGTCAGATAAATATATGTTCAAAAATAATAGTTGGTCAAGTTATAAGTTTGATAATCACCTGATTTAGGCCTGAACAAAACGTGATTGAGACCAGACTTTAATATTTAATATAATTTAAAAACTTAATTTCAAAAAGGAGTTTCCCATTTAACAACATTGGATATCACTGACCTTGATAATGCACTAAACATTGAGAGTTATCATAAAAACAAACCGGTCTATATTGATAGTGCGCTGTGTATTAATAAATAGTATATTAGTACAGTTAGTACAAATGAATGCCAATAACATATACAGTATGTAATGTTGCTATTAAAAATTATCCAGCAAAATGTACTAATTTGATATTTTAAACTAAATTATGATGCTATATATAACTGAGTATATAACAGTCAAAAATTATGCAACAAATTGTTTATTTATTTGTTATACAGTAAAATACTTAACATTTTAGTTTAAATAAATAATGCATTTTACTTTAATTAATATTACGAATTTTTAAAATTAATTTAATTAAAATTTAACAAGTAAAATTTAGTAAACAAAAAAGTTACCTTTAACTTTGCTTTCGTATTAATAAACTTTATATTCGTATTCATGAAAGCAGAGTTAAAGTGTACTTATTTACTATTTTTCTGTCATAAACCTAATGTTATTTATTTATACAATAGTTGAATTTGCTCAGAAATTGACAATGATTCAAATTTATTATGCATTATCTTAATTAAAAACTGGGAATAAAATGAATTTTCATTTGATTTTAATCTCGCAAATGTTGTCTCAAATTCTCTATTGAAAGTCAATCTTTTTAAATCAATGGCCCACTCGTTATATTTAGCCAACACATCGCGACAGTTTGGCCTAGTATGCCAATTTGGGTACAACACCATTGATAGCAATATAGTTTTCAAATGGAGTACTTGCTGATTTAAATGAAGATTGTTTCTCTAATAAACTTGTTGCCTAATTAAAAAAATTTCAAATTGATTTTATGAAAAATAACAAACTTACTTGTCCTGATCAAATTTTCCCATATCAAAATCAAATAATTTTTCACCAATATGAGCCAGGCTATAAATATCGCATTTGTGGTTATAATTTTTGCTAAGATTTACTTCCGGTGCTAAATATCCAAGGGTACCCACACATGATGTGTGTTTATTAGTAGTAAACAAATTAATACTTTTGTTGTGAACTGTAGCCAAACCAAAGTCACATAACTTAACAAACATACCGTTCCGTCCGTTCCTATCAATCAATATATTGTCGGGTTTGAGGTCTCTGTGATGATCTGTGGATTCAATTCATGCAAATACTGAACACTTTCTAAGATCTCTCGAAATATTTCACACGAAATGAAATACTCGTAACAATTCATGGGTTCACCAAATTGTCGATTAAATTCTTGCGGTTTGTTTTGAAGAATATTCTTTAAACTCTCGGAACATAATTCCATTTGTATGTAATAGCAGTCCTTTTCAGCCCAAGAATCGTAATATTTAACACAATTAATAATTAGCTTTTGATAAGTTGTTAACTTCCGTGAGTGTGGTTTTCATTTCATTTCCAGTAAATTCTAATAAATTAATATTATAAATTATAAATACAGTGATTGCAACTTTAGATGGCTTCAATCAAAAAAAGATTAAACTATCAAGATGATTTTTAGTTTTATTGCCCATTTCACCAGAAATGCGGAATCTTGTGATTTCTCAT